CAACATCTTCCCCATCCAAAATACATTCAAGTCCAATCTCTTCAACCAAAATAAACTTTTCACCATCGAGGGTTGGATCTGCAAGATCCCAATCTCCAGGAAAAGCACTCTCTCCAGTCCGATCACCGCATAACTTGTCATCACTTAAGGCTTCACCATGTTTATCTCCTTTAGGCTCACCTATAGAGCCGTTGAAAAGTCCTATTTTGTCACCAAAAACTGGTTCTGTAGGAGATTTGACTACACTGAAATCAACATCTTTAAAATCTCCAAAGGCTTCTACAACATCAAATATTGTATTGCCAGATCTGTGTGGAAACTTGTCAAAAATAGCTACTGAAATTCCTGCAACACCAGAAATTGAAACTCCGTTTATGGATGAAATTGACAGCGATGAACGAGAAAAAGCTGTTCAAGAGGCATCAGATGAAGCAGCAAGAGCTGTTGAATCGCTTCTTCAAGACAATTCAGATCCAGATCCTTTTGGATTCTCAGCTCCTGATCCAGAACCCCCAAAACAATTTCCTGTACCAAATCAGACATCAACTGAAGATCTAGTATTCCCTGATGTGTCTCTTTCAGACACAGTGACAACCGAATCTAATGAAGAGCAGAAGAATCAATCTCCCAAAAAATCGACTAGAAGGCGGCGACAATCTAAAGGATCAAAAGACTCCAAAGATGATAGTGACACTGGCTTAGATGTTCATATTGATACTGAAAAAGAATTGATAAATACTGATGAATTAAAGATTGATTTTGACACTAAACCAGACACTCGTACTGCCTTGACAACAGATACAATTTTTCACAATGACTCTGAAGCTGGTGATGATGGATTTGATACTTCATTTTCATCTGGAGCTGAAACTGGTTTAATGGGTTTGTTAGAAGATTCTAAAGCAAGAATCAACAAAGATGGACGAGGACGTGGAAAAGGCAGAACAACTCGTCGTGGAAGGGGGCAAGGGACAAAGAAAAGTAGCCAAGAAAGACTTCCTTTACAAAATGCTTTTGACAAGGATAGACCTCTGTTTGGTAGTCCATCCTCGATATATGATGCATGTCTCAAAGACGAAGGGAATCTTCCAGCAATGGAAAATCACAATGCAGGACTGTTATTTGAGGGTTTCTCTCCAAAAGATTCAGATGTTCTGTCTGATAATGAAAAATTTGATGGAACCAACAAAGATCAAAGAACAACACGCAGACGTAAAATAACAAATTATAAAGATATTCATGCTGGAGTCGTTCCAAACCCTTCTCAGTCACCAAGAACAAGAGGAACAGCTTCCTCTCCCAGAGGGTTGACTGCTCCTCTTGCTACATCACCACGAACAAGAGCCACTGCTTCTTCACCTAGAGCTCAGAGAGGTTGCCCACCATTGAAACCAGTTTCTTCACCAAGAGGACAAAAATCTCCAAAATATTCAGAAATTGGAACACCTATTGTAAAATTAGAAATCATGGATATCAATAAGTCAAAGAAAAAGGAAGATGCAAAGAAAAATATTTTTGGCAGAGAAATTGGACTAAAAGATGATATCTTGACTTCTGTGAATGATGAGAAGGAAAAAGTTCGAATCCCTACCACCTATGAGGACTGGAAAAATTCACAGTCTCTTCATCCAGAAAAGATAACTGTGTCAAAAGAAAATGTGTATGAGTTTGAAGAAAGTGAAGATAGCAATGAACTATGTCCTAGTTTAAGGCTTAGAAATAATAAGAAGAAACCAATAAGTGTTCATGACACACCTGTAGGATCTGTTTTGACCAGCAAAACAGAAGACTCTAATCCAATACTTCAACAACCAATGGATTCTTTACTTCCAAAGAAGGAACCCCTTCAAACAGTTAGTATGGATTTGCAGAAACCAATTGAAAGTGGAAATAATCATTCCTATGGCTCTGATGATTCTTCAGGCTCAATGAGTAATGTGGAGAAGATAATTGATGCTGTTTCCAGGGGTTACTTTGGTAATACTGAAAAATCAGATGAAGAAGATGACGATGAACCTAAATTACACATTGCTATTGGTAGTGATCCTTCTCCGCCTGTATCTTCAAAATCAGATGGTGAGTGTTTAGAGATTTTATATACAATTTCTGACGTGTTACTTTGTAATATTTGAATTATTTTTATTAAACCAAATGTTAAAGAAACTTTGTAAAGTCCTTTTTGTTGTTTTTTTTTTTTTTTTTTTTTTTTTTTTTTTTTTTTCGGATCTATATTTAGATTATCTTTGATTTTATTTCAGTTGAAAATCTATACAGTTCACAGTTTTTGACTAGTGGAACAGACTTTTTGGATAAAACACCACCTAGAATGGATCCAGATTTAACCTCTCCACCAAGAGACCTGACAACTAAACACGAAATCGAAATACCACGAACAAGTGCACAACCTGATGTAAAACCAACATCACAGACTACTCATTCATGGTCCTTGGCTTCACATCAAACTCTACCATTTAAACCATCTTTGGCAACTTCTGATTCTGCATCGGAAACCAAGATAAATAGTATTTCTACTACATCATCATCATCAGTTTGCCCTAATGTGCCCAGCTCCTCAGAACATCTAGTTTCTCAAAATATTGGACCAGCTCCAGCATTGATCCCAAGCAGTACATCTGTGAAGAGTCAGCTACAGACAACTGTATCAAGTACTCATGCTCCATCTCCGTCACAGAAATCTACATCTGTGGTGGTAGCTACATCTGCACAAGGTACCATATCCACTAGATCGATGCCTTCACCAATACTTCCGACCCTTCAGCATAAAACTTGGAATGTACCTGTACAACCTATTCTCACACCACCACCATCTCAGATCTCACCTAATTCTCAACCTCCTCAAAGATCACAGAGCGTTCAGCTTCCTGTCCAACACATGTCTCCACATGAAAATATGGTACAGAGACCTCCAAGTGTACATGCATTCCCGTCATTACCGTTACATTTACAACAGCTACAGGCACAAAAAATGCATCATCTTCAACAACAACATCAGGTACAGCAACAGCAGAAATCTCAAATTCAAGAACCCCAGCAATTACGTGACACTAAAGAATTAAAGCGCTCAACAGAGAAAGGGAGATGCAACAGCACATCAAATCAACCTCAATATCCAGTGCAGAATATGCATCCAGCACATAGTAACCATGGTCAAACTGGTCCTCAAAATTTTATGCTTATACCAGGTCAAATGCAGAGGCCAGCTTTTCCCAATGATGGTCCAAGACATAGTATGCCTTTAGAACATCCACGCCCAGGCATGACTGGAGATCATCCAAAACATGGATTGCCAGGAGAGTCAGCATTGCACAATGTACCTAGTCACCACCGTGAATCTGCAGAAAGGAGACACCCCCCTGTTAGTCATTCTGAGTCAGGGCATGCTCAACAATCTCATTCACAAGACCGGACAAGACATGCTAGTGGAGACCCTCTTAAACAATTAGAACAAGCCAGACTAGCAGAGTTCCGTCATGGAATAACTCCTCAGAGTTTGATGGCAAGAATGGAACAGCGACCTCCACATGCTCCAAGCCCAATGGATAGTAGAGGTAGTGTGATGCAGCAGATGATGATACCAACGAGTGCACATCAACAGAGGAAGACTCCTTCCACCCCAGATAGTGCACGAATAAAGATGACTCCTCCAGTCACTTTTGTTGGTCCACCTAGATCACTGTCACCAAAATCAGCTAGCCCCGTTGGACAGGTATGTAATATTTCAACTAAGCAAGATTTACAATTGATGTATTGAACACTATTTAAACAGTGTTAATTTTATACAAAAATGTACTCATTTTGTCCTGAGAACTTCTTGTAAAATCTTTTTGAAAAATGATTTGCAATACTTTTATTACTTTCAGCCTATTGAAAGAATCCAAAATCCTGTTCGCCAAGTTGATCACCATGGCTTGGTTCATCACATGAAACAATCTCAAGGAAACTTCCCAGATCCTCATCTGGTCAGACAGTCTAAAGGTAAGCTGAAAAATCCAGGTATATTTTTCCAGATTTTCACAAGCATTTTTTTCTGATTTTTATGGAAGGCAATCTAATTTTGATGTACTTTGTTATTCACTGAATATTTCTTTTACAGAACCTCCAGAGAGTCCTCGTTTACATACTGATAAAAATTCTTTAAGAGAAAGAGAAATGAATATGTTCATGGCCCAGCAAAGAGCTGCTTTGATGCAGCATCAGGAGGCAGCAGCAGCAGCTGCAGCTCATAAGAATGCTCAATTAACAGATCATGCTCATCGACCACCAGCTTCTTCCCCATCAACTAATTCAATGATCCCCAGAGATCCTATTATGGCACACCATTCACAACAACAGTCTCCATTGAATTTGGCAGAACCAGAACCAAGATCATCTCGTGAGAAATCTTCAAGGAATCCTCCACCAAATGCTTATAATCTTCCAGCTGGCTACCCACAAAATGCTAAACATTTGTCTGCTCCAGGTTCAGTGGAGCCGCGTCCACCACAACCAAAAACATTCCTGCAACCTCCTGGTTTTCATCCTCGTGGATTACCTCAAAATTTGCCTCAGATGTATGGTGTAGATATGAGTTCTTTTCCACCTGGTCCATTTGGTGTTGGTATTCCAGTAGATGCCCATAGTGTTTATCAGAGAGAACTTTACATACAGCCCGGAAGAGATAATGTCTCACTTCATCCGTCACCCTTCCCACCTCAAATTCTGTCACCCCATCCTGGCTATCAATTAGATGCGCATGCCAGAAGCGAAAGGTCTAGTCCTTTGGTACATAGACAAGAACATCCAATTAGCAGACAAGAAATTATACGTTCAAGGGAAGGACCACCAAAATCATCAGAGAATCTGTTCCAGGTTTGTTGTTTTCTTTTTTAATAAGCTTACGTAAAACAGAAATAAACAGTATAAACTGTTGTCAACTGAGACACTTTCATAAAAAAAAGTTTGGATATTACTGGATATAATCATAATTTGGATTATGTGTCTTATTTCAGAGGTTCCCAGTTATGTGGCGTGGTCAATTAGCTCTGAAGAATGATTCCTCATTTGTACAGATGCATTTTGTGTCTGGTAATCAAGGATTGGTGAAATTAACTTTACCTCAAATTTCGCCAATGGATCAAGTACCTCTACGTATTGCTCAGAGAATGAGAATGGAACAGTCACAGCTTGAAGGTGTATCAAAGAGAATGCAGGTATGTATGTTTAACATCTGCCATAATATATTATGTGACTTACTGATAATGTTTGAATGGTTTCATGAACCTTATGTACAGTATAGAAACTATGAATTATGTTTTAATTTACAGATGGATTCTGATTATTGTTTGTTAATTGCTGTGCCTTGTGGACGGGATCCTATGGATATTTCACAACAAACTAAAGGACTAACAGAAGGCTTTATACAATATTTACAACAGAAACAGGCAGCTGGTATCGTTAATATTCCAATGCCAGGATCACAACAGGTACTTTATCATTTTTACAAATTTCTATGGGTTCTCTTATTGGAACCATTTCATCAATTTTTTTATGCAGAATTATTCCAATTATAATTGGTAGAATTTGTCAATAAAATTTCACATGCATATTATTAATAAGCTTAATTCCATGTAGTGCTAATTGTCATTTTTAAAGGTTTTGCAATATAGTATTATTAATGCTTATTTTCTATCTTTCAGCCTGCATATGTTGTTCATATTTTTCCACCATGTGAATTTTCACATGAAGCAGTATTAAGAGCCAACCCCCCATTATTTGACCAAATAAGAGATTCACCACATGTAGTTATTATCATAGTACATTGTGATGCTTCTCATCCTTAATGTGACATTATGAATATAACCTGAAACTTAACTTTAGATGTTAAAGAACCTGAATATTCTTGGTTTAAACAGACTATCGTGACCTGAATTGACTATTACACTGGATTAGAGTAACACAAGTTTTTGGATATATATTTGTTTAGCAAACAGTGCTAAATAGTGGTTTGGATTAATTAGCCACTTTTAAATGTGTGAAAAATGACACTTCTATATTATACAGGGTTAAACTAAATATCTTTTTGAAGGAAAATATTTAGTGGTTAACATTTGGAGTACCAAAGATACTGTTTTGGATTGATGTTTGTCTATATTTTATGTGTTTTAGTGTATTTCTGTTATAAATGGATATAAAGGATCATAACTGCTCATTAGTTCTTAGTTCAGACTAATAAAGAATTAGTGAATAGTGTTCATTTCTCCTTACACATCTGGATTTACTAAATACAACTCTTTGGATTAGTTTTACCGGATTTAGTATGAAATTTCTAGATGTGCTTTGGAAAGGAGTATTACATAAAACTAATATAAGGCTATACTTGAAGGCAGCTAATATGAAATACATTAAGCTTTTTGATAGAGTGATTGTGTGTTATGGTAAACTTTAGTATTTTCGTTTATGTGTGAGTGTTTGCTTCATTTACAACATTTTTGTTTATAATTCATATGGAGACTGTTGTCAAATACAGACAACTGTGATCTCAGGAACAGATATAAACAATGGTTCCGACCTTGCCATTTATAAAAAGTTCAACCTAAGCCACCATCTTCTACATCATTAGAACGCTCAATTTGGCTTTGGTATAAGGTGTATATAAGTGTATGACTGTATATAATGTAAAATAGTTAACTGGATTATCAGTGATTCACATAACTTTCACCATTATCAGTGTATAAATATCATACAAACAATTTTAATTTTAATTAGTTACTGCACACTATTATTCTTTCTTATTGATAAACAACTTCTGAATGAAATCTCTAAACTATTCTGATTCTAAAATACAAGACGAAAGCTGAACTAATCTGTTAATAAAGTGTGATAACATGTAAATTACAAATTATTTATTAGTAATACGCTGTAACAGCTAGACTGAATACAGTTTGTTTTTATTTTTTAAAAAAGATGTGTATATTAGATTCGTTGTACAATGTTTTGTACCTAGTTTTTGAAGAAAAGCTAGAAAAGAGAGAATATAGTGTTAATTAATAATAAGATTCATGTAAAATATCATTATTAAATTAATCTTTGTTATTATTCTGCCACCCTTCGTTACAAATTGTTTTTATGTAGAAACAGACAATTATTATCAGAAGTGAAAAAAAAAAGAATCTATTTTTCTAAGTTTTCTGTACTATATTAGTTATTATGTACTTATATTGTTATCAAAGTTATTATTTATGATGACTTTCTTCATTTCATCAGTCTCCAGACTACTATCTTGACTTTCTTGATTCAAAATCACTTTCTTCTTTCTCCTTTATCAGACTTTTCAGATTCAGTTCAATCTTAGACTTCGTTTTTTACATTAAATTTTTTCTTTTGAAATTGACTGCTGTTTTATGTAAAAAATGGTGCTCCTTTAATTTTGAGATAAAACTTCACTTGAAGTTACAGAGCTTGTTAGATAGCACCTTGTTTATTTACATTTTAAGACAATGAATTGATTATTATACACTTTTCACTGAGGCAATACATTTTGGTCTTTAAAAACTTTTCACCTTGGGTTATTTATTTGGAAAAAATTATAAATTTTTGTCATCTCAATGAATTTTTTATATCGTTGACCAGTTTGGTTTCTATTTTATCTTTAACATCTTTTTAGAACACATTTTGCTATTAGCTTATCTATTTTTCTCTTACTTCCACAATTTCCTTACTAAACAAGCTTAATTTTAAGATCCTGTTTTTAAATCTCAGCCTTAGAGATACAGTTTAAAACAAATTTGGTTTTTCAGCCACAGAAACAAATTTAGCAGTATATTGGTAATAAACATACTCCTTAAGAAAGAAAATGATCCTCAAAATACTTGCATAATTAAATATTTTGAAATAAGTTATCTTTGAAAACCAGGCTTTGAGATTGAAAAATATTTTAAGAATGAAATTTAAAAACAGCATCTGGTTGTTAGATGTCAGGCAGCATCTATTGACCATTATTATTAGCAGACGTGATTGTATGAGCTAGTGAGAAAGATGAAGTATATTTTCTGAATAAATGAGAATGAATGAAAGAAGTTGTAAATATAATCTGTGGTATTTGCTGTGACAGATGAAAAATGTCATATTGTAATGAATAAATGTAAAGAAAATCATAAAAATTTACTACTGTGTTATTTATAATATTTACCAATTAAACAATATTAGCTGTATGGACTGCTAAATGCAGAGTTGACAAACCCAGTTGCAGAGGGTGAGCATACTTTGCTACAGTTCACATTTTAGTTCAAACTTCCAAAGGTATAAAAGAATGTTTGTTCTCTAAATTCAAACAGATATCATATATGGTGTTGCCTGTTCCAACCTCTGATAAATATTTTGACAGTTATCAGTTGTAGTAGAATCAGAAAAACTAGGACCTGTTTTAGGAGGATTGTCTAAACCTCTTAATATGCGTTTATTCTAACAAAATATTTGTTAGTTAATTCCTTGAACTTTTGACTGCATACACAGATTTGAATATTTCATTAAAAAAAAAAACAAGTGCAGATGTGAGATAAATGGCGGAGGGGTATGATGAACTACAAAAATATCTTTCTGAATATTTCAGGATCCCATTTAAATAAAAAGGATTAAAATCGGCACACCTTTGGAGGTGCAGAAAAATCTCATAAATTAGCAGAATTAAAATAGAGGCAGATGCTCCAGTCTAAGGCACAAGAAGATTCATGTATGAAACTAATATTTTTCTTTTAAATAAGATGAATTTTTGCCTTTGAAAAAAGTAGGATTTAATAAATAGGCATGGGGTTATTATAAACGAAATTATCTTTAAAGTTAACAAAACAATAAAAGTAAATAAGATAATCAATAAAAACACAAAGACATAACTTATAAAAAGTGTAAATGAATAGTTTGAACAAAAAATATAAAACTTTAGGTAAGAGAAAAACAGAGCACAACAAAAAATAAATGCTTTTCAAATGAATGGATGGTTATGACCACTTATAAAGTTATACCCAGCATATATATTTCATTTGATACTGTGAAAAAATGAGACTAAAAAAGGTTGATAACTAACTGTAGCTGTATACAGCAACCCGGCATGCCATTACCGACCTAACAAATTTTCACTATCTTTAATATCGGTACTAAGTGTTCAAAGGAAAAGAATATAAAATTTACTAATCCGATATAATTTTTATTGCTTTTGATGCTTGTGATGGGAACAAGATATATTTAAAGACTCAATATCTAAATTTTAGAACACATTATATAGTTTGTACAAAATTGAATAATATTAAATGCAACTTTCAAAAAGAAATATTGTTCATATTTGTTTCATTGTGAAGTTTTCCTTTAAAATGGAGCAGGTGTGATTAGGTAAGAGTGGTTGTAACAACAACATATAATTAAAGTTACCAAAGCACAGGCCGAGGTGGAAATTCAGCTACATCAACATGATTTTTATAAAGTAATGAAATAAAATTATAAAGTAATACTAATTACAAATTAAATAATTCTAAAATAATAAAGTATATATATATTAATGTGAATGAAGTTCATCGTTTTCTGTTTCTGTAATCAACAGAGTTAAAGTTTAGAGGCAATATTGGATCTGATCTCAGTTGTTTTTAAGCCATTAACAAGAAATTCATGTAGCCTCGGAGAATATGAAATATTTCAGTAATATTGCAATGTCAAAGCTATTCTGACATTATACTGAAGTCAGTCTTACACAATCTTCACAACTATCTTCTTTATATGTGTATTTTAAGGGGAAGAATCTTTTTATATGTGAACAAAACCTAGTTTGAAACTTAACTGACTTAGATTATATTTTCTGTGTCATGCGTAGTGTGAGAAGTTATGTTATGAATAGAATATTTTCTACATTTTCTATATACTTGACAAAACTACTGTAGAGAATAACTTGTAAAGGGCACAGATGTTAATTTCATCATTAAAAATGAATTCAATCAATAATAATGAAATATAAATATACACAATAACAATAATAACTGAATTAACTCATATGACTATTGTATGTCTTTCAAATAGAACCATTGCAGTAAATGTGGAAATCTTTTTAATAATCTTTGATAGTCAGTAAACATTTATAGATAAATTTCAGTCAATTTATATTTCCCCAAATTCAAATATCAAATATAATATCTTCACCATCAAATTGTCTACATCAAAAATAATGATTACATAACAAACTAAAATATCACATTATAAAATGGAAGATACATATTCCTATTTATAATCTCAATACTTGATCCTTCACATTAAAATCTTTCCCAAAAAATATGGTCTACATTCTCCACAGTTAGGAGACAGAACACTAGAGTAGTTTATGTTCCTCTTCAGGTCTATGCTCAGATTCGTAATCCAAATGTACAAAAGCACGTTCTACGTCTGTAAGTTTCTCTAATTTTTGTTGCAAAGCCTCTCCAATATCATGAGCCGTTTTTAATGTCATTTCTTCTGGTAGCACAATATCCACTTCCACCAGAAAATTATTACCAAAATGAAATGCCCGCACAGTATCTATTTGAAGAACAGATTTATGGTGGTTTAAACACATCCAGGTGATTTTACTGAGAAAGTCTGGTTTAGCTGTATGACCTGTTAACAATTTGATTTGTTCTGGAATACAAAATATCAGACATACATAGATAGATACGTTTTTTCTTATTTATTAAAGTTTACCTCTCATGCACTTTGTACTTTCATTGGTTAATCATATATCACTTATTATCATTATCATATTGAAATTTCTTCAGAAAAAGTTTGGAACAGTTTTGGTGGAACTTTTTTTTAGAGGGAAGTGTGTGTCAAATGTTAACTGGCAAATCACTGGCAATCTTTATCATTGCCATATATCAAGACTATCAATATTGTTTTTTCAAACTCTAAATTTCATTGACACAAAATTATCAGTTAAAATTCAATATTACAACAAAAATTTGTAGTTTCCAATAATAATGTAAAGTCATAATACAAATACTGTACCCCAGCCAGTTCTCCACCAGCTTATCAATATATAAATACCAATAATAATAGCTCCACAGGGATCAATAAACTTGACATTAATATTACCAGTAGTAGATACAAACTCTTTAGATCCTTCAATAAATCATATATTTATTATCTATCTATTCTATTATCATCATCTATAAACAACATCCCAACTTACTTTCTGACTACAATGTTTTATAAATTGAATTTTGCCAATCATTTTTGTATGAATTGAAATTTCAATTACAAAATACTTCTGATGCTCTTGGATTGCTTTTAGGTTGATGAAAATGATAACCACTGGAAAAGTTTTTTTAACATGATTTACAGAGTCAGTTGAAGAAATAGGTCATTTTCACCGCAGGTAATTGTGAACAGGATAGCCTTTGGTGAAACATTTGAGATTTCGCCGGTTGACTAACCTTTTATTTCTATTGATTCGAAAACATTCTTAGATAAATGGCATAGTTGAAAATTTTTATTTTGAATATTCATAAAATGAAAATAAAAATTCAATTTAGTGTTAAAGAGTTAGTGCTAATCCTGTCACCATAACGCTAGCATCAGTGTAAAACTTACAATACACCAGCTTAACACTAGTGTCAAACCTAAAGCCATTTGACAGTGTTGTCTGCTAAGCAGCTAAGTGAATCTGTCAAATACAGAAAATGGATGGCAAGAAATGAGTGAAATGGGCAATGAAAAAGTTCTGACCTCTGCATCGTGTAAACCACTAAGGGTTAGTGTTAAAAAGATATAGAAACTCATGCTAAGCCAGTGTTCTGAAACACTGAGTTAGGATTAGTGGAACACTAGAGTACCATAAGGTTAACAATTGTGTTAAATTGTTCCCCAAATACACTGTTATCTCAGTGTCACCCAACACTTTACATCAAGGTCAAATGTTGGGGTTAGTGTTACACTAGTGCTAGTGCTACACTTATGCACTAATCCAACACTAACACTGAGTTCTGACTTCACTTAATGTAGTCAGAGAGTAAGTGTAAAATAATGTTTTACTGAGATGAATCTGCTTTACAGGTATCACTGAGCATGACACTATTCATTCATGCCATTGTAGAATGAAATGAACTAATCCTGTTCAAACACTTCATACACAATAATGATTTTATTGTTTAATTACACTGAAGAGTATTTCAAAGGGACAGGTGGGCCATTTTGGGGGGTTGAGTTTAGTCTAGAATATATGTAAATAGTTTTCATAAGTACTAGAAATGTATGGAAATCATTTAATTCCTTTAAAAATACTTTTACCCACTATGTCTTTTCAATAAATGACAGAGTATCTTAAAGGGATACTACGTCTTAGGATGAACAAAAAATTTCAATTTTGCTCAAATTTGGCCATTAACAGTATATATCCATCAGTGGACTTACCTGGTGTCCTAACTATACATCAAAATCCCTCTATAATCCGATATATCCACAAAATCAAGTAATTAATTATAAAACGCTTAATACATCCATTAAGCGATTTTCAAATCGTGAGTCTAGGAAATCCGGTGTAATTTTCAAGGCGAAGTAACTCTCAAGCGGGGTTTCCCACGTCCTTGACCTCTACTCTTGAATTGACCTCGACATTGTCATATTTTGAAGACGAAATAATGATGCCTCGTAGGAGATTAAGCGACTCCGCGAAAAAGCCATTCATATATAATTTAGAATGATTACTCCACCACTGACACAATTTTCAACGAATATTAATCATTGGCAAAGTTTGTTTGTATACACCGGAAGATGATTGTTTCCTGTTAGCGTTGATTACCCAGACTCTTTTATTTCTCAAACTGAACGGAATCATGGCTTGCTCACTTTCAATTGACAAGTCAAACACAGATAATTCTGGACAGAAATGGATTTGGAGGCTCCAATTTCGACAGTGATCTGTGAAGCTATTTCCCATTAGCTCTGCTAAAAAATTCCAGTTTCTCAGACTAGAGTAGAATTGGTCAAAAAATTAGCCTACCTGTTCCTTTATTGTTATCAAATGATTATAAATGAACATGAATCAAATCTGTATTCAATTTCTTTTTTAGCTTGTGGTCAAAGGGAGATAATTCTACTAAGGGGAGGTAATTCTGCACTTTGTTTAGCATCAGACAACAAACAATGATGTAATTCAACTATTTCAAGAATATTTCTTTCTCATGTAGATATAGATCTGGATCTGGATGTTTGCAATTGGAATATCTTTGTGTCAACACTTTTTTGTCATCTTCATGAAAAAGACAAAAGTTTTTCATCAAGTTTGTGGAAAGAGAATAAATTTGTTTATGAATATACCTTACCTAAATAGCCACATATAATAGCTATAAGATTAGAGAGAGTATCATTACGATGATCTTGTAATAAAACTTTTACAGATGAAATATTTCTTCCTTTTATATAACACAGTATAAATAAACCTAGTTTTACCACTGAAATCAAGAAACAAAAAAATGAAAAGAGCCCACACTTTAATACACACAAATAAAGGTGTACAGTTTCTTGTTCAGAAGCATTAGTAAGTTTCATTCCCAATGACTCAGGACTACTAAAAGTAGTACTATTTCAGTCAGATATTTGTGTTAGATGGTGATGCGAACATAGTCTGATGAAAGCACTGGCCTAGGTCAAAAAGTAAAGATTTATGATAAAACAAGGTACAAGTTTAAGGTTAAGATGATTAGATATGTTAACTAAGGATGTCTCTGTAATACTATCTGTGGTAGTATCATTTCTTTGGCTACAGTCAGACAGACCTGACAAATATAGTTAAATCATACTTAGCCTACTGAAAACATGGTAATCTGAAATTAAGCTTACCGACTGTAGTACTGACTATAATAATAGTAATATTATCAAATGTGGGTATATTGTCCGAAATGTTGACTAATGCCACTATTTTCTGAATAGATTCTATTACTATTTGGAAGGAAGCTAATGACATTATAACCGATAATACAACAATAGCTAATGGTTCCAGACGTGTTCTTCCTGAAATTAAAGTTATTCCACATCTAAACAGTATATTTGCTGTCTGATTTTGCTATAATTCCCAATGTTATACTGTGCCCGGTCAGAATGTCATCATTTATTTACATCCTTCTGAATGCACTCATCTCCCAAACCCTCTAATATGATAAAGGTCATTTTAATTGGTTAAAATTCACTGCCTCATACATAGATATTTTGATAAAGTGAACCACCTTAAATTTGTGAGGGTGCGTGATTTAAGCCATGATGATAAATGGTCTGGACTGTTTTTGAAAAATATTTCCCTTTTGAGAATATGGGTATAAAATAATGTATGTTATAATAACCTCCAGGATATAAATAAATATTTCTTTTTTTCATAGTACTAGATGTCCACCAAATTATTAATCCTGAGAGCAAATCAACTGATGAATCAACTAAACTTGAAATAATAGATAATGAACTAGATAATGCTACTGTTACAGCTTTTCCAAATAACAACAACTAAAAATAAAGAAAATAAAAAATACTATATGCCCAAATGTTTCCAATAATTAACATAATGTTTGAGCCTACTCTTTTGGGGAGAACTATAAATAGTATAGGTCTGTCTCCAGTATATGCATCATTTAGCACAGGGACAGTCAAATTTTAAAAAGAGGTTTGAAAACTTTCTGCATTAAGTAACAAGTGATTGCCTAGCAAGATACGCCGACTTTCCTGATACATTTTCAGTATATCAAGGGCAGTCACCTATCTGTGTCAAATCTTACCAAAATCTAATTTGTGCAAGATATTGTTGATTTAAACAAACACACATTATTTAATAAAATTCTGACATACACTGTTACCTCTAACGCTAACAAATTTTGATGCGTTTTTACTAAGTCTTGGGCAATAACTCAAATTCCGTTGATCGAAAAATTTCAAATTTAATCTTGACTAAGATCTCATCATTATAAATGATCATACCAAATTTCATTTCAATTGAATAAAATCTGTACTCTCTATTGTGTTCACAATCAAATTTTGACGCGTTTTTCATAAGTCAAGAGCAATAACTCAAAAACCATTCATCGAAAGATACGTCCAATTCGAATTTGTCCAAGATTTCATGAATATAAATGATCACACCAAATTTCATTAAAATCAGATAAGAACTGTTGTCTCTATTGCGTTCACAAGCCAATTGTGGACGACCAGACCAATGGATGGACAAGGGCGACGACAATATACGAACACATTATAATGTGGGCGTATAAAAAAGTACTTTTCTATGGAATCAGGTTGAATAGACTAAAAATCAGGATTTGATGATAAGAAATAGTATTACTGTTCTATGGTTTTTGATAGAATTATAAAATCACAGCATGCTAATTGTCCTGAACATCTGATGCCAGTTCAAAGTACCAGATCAAAACTTAGAAGCAGACATGAACAGTACATCGTTGATAGATCTACTCTAGTAATAGGTAGGTATTTTTCATATTTATTGAAATTTATGTAGCATATCCTACCCAGACTTACCAGATTGGCTATAAAAGATACACGAGACAATATCAATGTAATTTGGTCATGTTTATTAGTACCATCATTACCATTACTACCAGGTCCTTGTTGTAACTGTTCATAAACACTGATTAATTCATTCTGGGCTTTATAATATGACCTGGATATAACAACAAATAATATTGGTAGGTATATGAAAGTAAGAGAACAATTCATGCAACACAACAAAAATATGTTTCTAAATCCTGGTGTAAGAGCTTTGAAAGTATTTATGTCAACATATACAATACTTTTAACATCACACAGGCAGGCAAATATGCAACAGTAATAAGAATAAACCTCAGGTGAAAATAAATTCTATAAAAATTCAATTAAAATTTTACTTTTCAACTTTTTATGGCTTTCATAACTCAAAATATTTAAATAAAACTTGAATTGTGTTAAAAGTCTTTTAATGGCAATTAGCATTTTTGAGTAAGAAATATAGACACAGCTTTATGGAACAGCAATCTGCAACATAATTTTCCACACTTGTTTCCCCCAGACGAAACGTTGCATAAAACTTTAACCAGTGATTGTTGTTCCATAAAGCTGTGTCAATATATTGAATTATGTTGTTACTCGAAAGTTTCACGCAATGTCAATGTTCCAGTCTACTTTAAATACTTATTTGACATGTATAATTCTACCTTAATCTCCTTTTTAATCGAGATGAAGAATCCTTCGAATGTCTTTTAGAGCTAAAAACATGAATTGGTATTTGCCATGATAATTCGTTGTCTTAAAAAAAAAAATTAAAACATTTGTAATACTTTTAAGATGTTTTACATACTGCCTCAGAGATTGCTGTAATGTAATTTAAATTATCGAGTATACAATCTAAAAAAATTTTTTTTTGTTCTATTATTTGCCTTAGAAACAAACTAATATTTCATGGCAAAAATATCTGGCGCAATGGAGCCACTTAAAAGTGAGGAGGCAAAATTGTATCTATGGTTCAAAATTAGGCTATATACATATTTCATTTAGCCTAGGCTTTGTTTAAAGTGGGCAGGTTAACCTACTAATAGCTGATGAATATGATACATTTTCCCCATATAGTCATATTACTTGTTTTGCATAAGCAAACACTCTGTTACTCACTTGAACTTCCTTAAAAATACTGAAGGCCAAACAAAATAAAATAAACATACCATTGTCATAAATGTTACTATTTGCTGGTACTATTTCAGTCATTCTAATACCAGATACTGATTCATAACTATTATCACAATTACTAACAGATAAACACCGATTAGACTGGGATCTAGGAGCTAATCCCATTAATGTATGTTCATCTTCAATGTGATTAATTTGAGGTAGTAGTAATGATTTGGTGACAAAATCCTCCATCTATCAAAGAAAAATTTTTTTTTGTCATTGCCAATGGATAAGAAGAGATGCTATGAGGCATACTTCAAATATCATCACTTCTTGATGTCAAACAGTCGGACTTTCAAAATGTCAAAATATCTAGGACTACTTATTCTTGTTTATAACTAGATGTTAAAAATGGTATGATTAATTTACATTTGATAATTACGATAATTGGCAATGTATCTGCTGCAACATTTGAAGAAGAAGGAAAAAAAAATACCTCTGATTTATCGACAACTTCAACAGTGTCTGTTATAATAATATCAGGGGCAGACGCAACAGAATGCTTATCTTCATCTTTTTTATCATTCACCATTCTCACCAATAACTAGATATTCAATCAAAAATAACAGTTCCCTTACATTACAATTTACACTTAAAACTCTCTCAGTAGAACTAAATGCTGAAAAGAAGTTAGACCAAGTGAACAATCTTGATAATAATAGACTCACTAATGATATTGAAAATTTTCCACTCAACTATATAAACTAAAAAGCTTCAACTTCTCACCTTCTTTATGAGCACCACACAGTTTAAGATAGCTTGCCAGGCAAGGTAATATACGCCCACTGGCAGCTTTGATTTTGAATAAAAATATTTAGCAGTACAGTTACAATCACCAGTATGAAATATTCAACCTTCAGTCATACACTTCTTTTGAACTCTTTAGGGCGATACTGAATAATATTGAGTATGAGTTATTGCCCTTGTTTCTGAAAACATGTTCAATTTTTAGCTTGTGAAACTCTAGAAGGCAAATATTCAACCTTCAGCGCATATATATAATAAAACCAAGTTTTGTCAAAATCTGGCCTTAGAGCTAAAATTTGGAAGCATTTTCAAGAACGAGGTCAATAACTCCTATGAAAATTTTTTCGATTTGTATGATTTTCGATAGGGTTCATCCAAGTTTCGTAAAAAAGTGTTTATGAGTTAAAAATTGAATGCGTTTTCAAGAACAAGGGCAATAATTCATATCAAATATTTTTCGATTCTTCTGATTTTCAATAGGGTTCATCCTTGGGTGATTACGAACACAGTTTTGTCAAAATCCGTCAAGAATTGTGTCTTGTAGAGTGTTTACAAGCAATTGTGGACGGACATCAATATACGCTCCCCCATTTCATGTGGGTGTATAAAAATTACACCAATATAATGAATAAATACAATGAAAACACAACAAGATACTCATCTTATATTTTTAACTATAAAAAGTAAATACACATGTATACATTTTACTTAAAGGTCTAAGACCATTCTCACTATTCAGTCACATGAACAAAATTATCTACATTATTCAAACTATTAAAATTTGTCAATAAAACAATAATAATGTGAAATATTTATAAGCCAAATTTTTCAGAAAATGCCCTATTTTACAATTTCTATCAAAATATAAAGAAAAAACACATAGTTAATGATGTTAATTGATTGATTAATCAATTGTGACTGGGCAATATAAAATTTCATTCCATTTTTAAATCTTCACCTTTAACTAGATGTAACACAAAAAAACATTACAAAAACAAGATAGCTAATTAGAACATACAACAAAAATGTTTTTTTTCATTACTTTAACTAATATTTCCAACAGTATACTACTTTGTCATTTATAGTGACAGCTGTCACAAAATTGTTTAATTCGTTCAAGTTACTATCTATTCTATCCACTATCAGTGGACATTAGATAAGACAGTATATAATTTTTTTTTTAGCCATTCTTCATGTCACGTTTAAAAAAAGATCTTTTCTCAAACTGATTACAAACCAAATTTCAGTGTACATTTAGCTCCCACTTCATTAGACGTAACAAAATCAGGACACATTTATAAATTTGTATAGGCCTATATTACAATACTAAATGGTTGGTGGTTCAAATTAGAGTAATAAGCCCATATCAGACCATATTTTTTTTGCATTTTCTTGGATCATGGCTGGTTAAATTAGCTAAATTCTGTTAATTCATTCACCAATAGGGCTGCAATTAGATACACATAACGATACTCGTCCAACGATATGATTTGTTGCAATTCTTTTATAAGGTTAGATAAAAGAAAAGAATTTTACCAATTTTGTCTTTTGTCTTGATCTGGCAAACAAAAACATTTTGATATAAAGAATTTTGAAACAAATTCCCAATTTTTGAATTTTTTTAAGTTATAAAAGATTTGAATACAAATTTTGATGTGATAAATTAAATTTCAAAAATAAAATCATGACACAAATCATTTCTTCTACACAAGAGGATTCTGAATTTATCTGTTATTAATGGTAGTTAATAAATAATCACACTGATATACTGCGATTTTAAAGTTTATCCATCACAATGCTTCGATAAGAAGGAAAGAATCACGTACCATCTATTCATCAGTTAATCATTGCAGTCCTATTTTAAATTTAATCAAGTTGTGATAATGTAAAGAAAAAAGCTAGATATGTGGAATAGTAGTACACTACAGTTTAGTAGAGACTACACTGACCTGGAATAAGCTATATAATTATTGTCTTCTGGTACAGTACTTAAAATGACAATCAAAGTCTACAGAGATAATGTGTAGCTAACCAAGGACCATCGCAAGGCTATTATATTGAAGCTTAAGGATATTCCAGTTCACATAAATAAAAGCAATTGATATAATTCAATGAAGACCTTAATTAATTTCTTCATGTAGCCTATCTTTAGTTATACTAGTCCAACATCATGTATCAACTTCATAATCTGACAACAGGCCTAATGTAGCCTACTAAAGTGAAAATGATAAAGAACCTTTAAGTTTGGCCCATATTTGTTACACTATTTATAAACTCTGTCACTCTCATGGTGATTAAGCAAACCAGGCTCACTGACATAAAAAAAACCAACAAATTAACAATCCTGATTGGGTAGTTATCGCCCTTGGCCTGTCAACATCGGCTACAAAGATTCCTGATACTATAATATTTATGAAACGATAGCTGGTTTTTTTTTCAGTTTATTTAGGTACTGAAAGGGAATTACTAGTTAACAAAGCATTTGGAATTAGCTTTAATCATTACACAAATAGAGAAAAAAATACGATGTAATAATTTCGTGTTATATAAAACTGTTTTTAATGAACCAACCTCCATCTTTTTGATTCTTTGTTTTCCAGACTGTTTTAAAATATGTCTTAACTAACAGTTACGCCTGGATATTCCCGTTGATTTACTAAATACAACACGTGAATCCGTCTGTAAGGCTATTGCATGAGAAAAATATAAAGATGTCGTGGTTGTTTGGAACTAACCAAGGGCAAAATCCATCGATTCCTCCACCTGCAGGTTTCCCACCTACACCACCTGGAGGAGATGAAAAGGGAAATAAAGGCGGCGGTGGTTCTAAAAGTGATGCTTACCGGTTTGACTCAGCCGCCCTTGAAAAAGCCGCACGTGCAGCAAAAGAATTAGAAGCATCAAGTAAGTAGGCCTAGATTAGTAAATGACCAGATTGTGATCTGATTATCATATAAAAAAAAAAATTGTCATACAAAATCGTTGAGCGTCAAGATCATCAGATCAATGTCAAGTGTACCCATCAATGATAAATAATAGGTCTACTCTCTATGTGAAATATTAGAATCAAGTGTTGATCTCCTTTGGACCAATTTTGCAACAGGTCACAAACATACATAAATGAAATTTGTTCAGTTTGTCACGTGATCAAATTCCATTTACCATTCAATGTGCAAAAACAGAATGCAACAGGCAAAGAGAATGTCTAGTTCTTTGGCAATTCTAAACTAATCATGACTTATACTTATCTGCCAAGTAGATGATTAGAATTATTAAGTTTTATTTAGTGGTTAGTATTTTTTCGGTAATTATGTTGGTAAAACTTTTTGAATTTTTTTTGTTTTAGAACATGCCAAAGAAGCATTTGAACTCACTCGCATGCAGGAACAAACTGCACAGATTGAACACCAGCATAAAATCAAGGTACAGTACTGTTAAGATCAAACAATAATATTTATGATTAATCTTTGCAGGAAATATTTTGCTATTTCACTTAATGATGGTTTAAATAAAAACTGATTTATAATGTTTTCATACATTTTTTATTCAAGGAATTGGAAGCACAAATGGAAGCCATGAAACTGGATCAGAAACGTGTTGCTGAAGAAGAACGTCGAAAAACAATGCAAGAAGAAACAAAGCAACATCAACAAAGAGCTCAATATAATGATCAATTGTCAAGAAAGAGATATGATGATCAATTGATACAACAGGTTATAGATATTATATAATAGAATTAGTTTTGTGGTACTGGACTGCTGAGTTGACCTCTAGGTGTTAGTGAGGAACTTTGTTGAAAATCTAGATTATTTCATGCTGCATGTCTAATATCTGATTTTTGTCCAATAAAGTACTGTACAAAACTTACAAGCTACTAGTTCCAAATGGCTATTATTCAAACATGTAATTTGAAAGAATTTTTAATTTCATGTATCTAATAAACATGTAATGAATATTTTTATCAGGCTCGTATGAATGAAGAAAATCTTAAAAAACAAGAAGAATCTGTGAAGAAGCAAGAAGCTATGAGAAGAGGTATGATACAATTAGCTTACACATGGTGACACACTTTATATAGAAAACTAAAACTGGAAGGGTTGAAAGCTCTATTAGAGAGCCATTTTCATCCCATGGTACACTATAACAAGTATTCCATGGAAAAGAGACTCTTTTGTCTGGTATTAAATGAGAAGGTTTATGTAAAAATAATATTCTAGATTATCAATCTATATTATTCTTTTAATAGCACTTTAAGTATGGACATGTGTAAATCAAAATAGTTATTTTAAATACCGGCACCGGTGTTTCTAAATCTAAACCCCCTATGTCTTATGGCTGAACTGATAATACGATAAGCTTATTTCATTCAACTTTTTTGTATTTTTGTTTCAATATCCGGTTGTATTTTTATAAAAAAAGAAAAGCGATGATGAAAATTAAACATTTATTTATATATTTTAGCTTCTCTTGAGCATGAAGCTGAACTGCGTCAAAAGACGGAAATGGCAAGGATTAAAGCAGAAATGGCTGGTAGAGCTAAGATAGATAGAGAAAATCAAGATTTAATCAGAGAACAAATTAGATTAAAGGCAGTAGAAAATAGACAAACAGTATTAGAGTCAATCAAGTAATTATAACTTTCAATATTGGTTACTTGTGATTAGTGTTGAAATTGAATACTGATGTCATTCTCCAAAACTGACAAAAATACTAATTTATGATCACCACCTATTATGAGGTCCCTATTTTGTTTTAAGCATTTAAGCATACCAAGGGGCGGCCTGTACTACTAGCTAACTGTATCTGTTTGTTTACTCATAACATATCACAAACGATGTTACTTTAGATGAAAATAATTGGTTATGAAAAAGATGTGTAATTGAAATATGGAATAATTCATTTACATCAATTAGAATTTAATTTAGGTATTGCAATATGTTTCTTAAATATGATTTTTATAACTTTCAGGACAGTTGGTTCTGTGTTAGGAACTGGCTTTCAAGCTTTTATAAATGATTGGGATAAAGTCTCAGCTACGGTAAAAACTAATACACTTTTTTAAGTTTTATCTATGTTATTTATGTTCATTCAATATATACATGTAGCTTAAAAAGAGGCTCAATCTGATCGAATTATGCAAGCACATCTGTAAATGTCTTACCTAATTATTCTTCTGTATTAAAGTGGCTCAGTAAGTTAGACGCTTGGTTTGGCTTGCTCGCTAATCTGAAGGTCAAGGGTTCAATCCCAGTATAGGTTGAGAAAATACCTTCGGATTTTTCAACCCTGTTTCCCTCGTCAGTGATGAAGGTAAGGGGGGCTGACGAGGAAAAAGCGTTGAGTCATTAGGATGGGACAATAAACCGAGGCTCCCTGTGCTACAGACTGTGCACGTTCTAGATCCATTGACAGTTGGAAATCGAAAAAGAGCCGCTGTTCTGGCAAAATTTCCCCCATTGCACCCTGAATGGCGTGCCCACATGGTGCAGAAAAGTAGGACGTAAAACTCCTTTCATTTTATTTAATTTAATTTCTGTATTTATGGGTATTGCACTCTAAATATTTCAAATATTTCAGTTATTTTTGTTACTTGTCACAATTGAAATGGCAAGGAATCTTACACATCAGATGTTCCCTTCGTTGTAATTCAATTTGTTCTTTATTTAGGCAGCTGGGTTAACTCTAGTAGCTATTGGTGTATACACTGCTAAATATGGTACTGGAGTGACGGCACGCTATATTGAATCTAGATTAGGTAAACCATCATTAGTAAGAGATACCTCGAGATTAACAGTGTTGGAAGCTATCAAACATCCCATTAATGTAAGTATTCTTGTGTAAAGAATATCAGATAAGGGACTGAAAACTATTATATAGTTATTGCCTCCTCAATTTTGATAATCTTTATTGTGTTTTATAGGCCAACAGCTATCCAGGATAAGATAATATAATTGATCTCTTCAAGGAATTTTTAAGTCTAAAATGTAAAATAATAATTTTTTTTTTATAGACAGTGAAACAGTTAAAGTCAAAACCTGAAGATGCTTTACAAGGAATTATATTAAAGGTAGAGTTTATTTAAATTTTTTGTGTACAAAATGATGAAATATATTCAGAAGTCAATTTTCTTTGCTAGTTTTTTTTTGTGGAAAAAGCAATGAATATTTTTTGTGACGTATTTTACAGCCCTCATTAGAAGAAAGGTTACGAGATATTGCTATAGCTACAAAACATACACGAAAAAATAAAGGTTTCTATAGAAATATATTAATGTATGGACCTCCCGGTACTGGAAAAACCATGTTTGCAAAGGTGAGTTAAGTACCTCAAGGGCTACTATTTTCTCTCAATAAATACCAAATCTCTGATTCAAAACCTTAACCCAGATTTTTGTTCTTTAAGTCAGTTTAAGCAAAATTGACTAGTGGTGAGGTGAACAAATTTAGATAACTACTTCTTAAATTCAAACGCAAAGGAGGGTTTTCTTTTAACGACTACTGCTTCTAAACCACTATGACAACATACTTCTGTGAAATTTTAATGTTTTAATGAATTGATGTTTAATTTTTAGAGTTTAGCTCGACATTCTGGTATGGATTATGCTATAATGACTGGTGGAGATATAGCTCCAATGGGTAAAGAAGGAGTCACAGCAATGCACAAAGTGTTTGATTGGGCACAAACAAGTCGAAGAGGGTAGGTTGATTTTAATACCAATTGGTTATATTAACAGGCCTAAAAATTTATGTGAGTCTCTGAACCCCATTTGTGTCAAGACTTCCGTAAACATATAGTCTTGTTGGATTTGTGCAAAATCATTTCTATTTGTGTGTCGATACAGTGTATATTTTCCATCTGAAAACCTTCAAATCTGTGACAACTTGTTTATATTCATTTTTCGAAAATGGCGAAGAAATCTGGGGAATAATTCATGATGCTTTCCCCTGTTTTGTGTTTTATCATTATCAAGTTATATACGATCACTCTCCTAACAAAAAATGTCCTGTACTAAAAACTCCTGATTTTTACTGATTATATTTAGATAATGAAATAAAAAATACAAATATAGAAGGCCTACTGAGAGTGTTGGCTTGTCTTTTGGTCAATGGATTCGGACCATTGTATTTTCATTAAATAAAATATATAGGGGACAAGCAAGAATTTCAAAACAATCTTTCTGAATGCATGTGCCCCAAAAATCCAATATGCTACTGGTGCATACTCAATGAATGGTATTTGTATGGGGGTGAAGGGGGGGGGGGGGGGGGGAATTGTATTTAAATTTTAAGTACAGCATTCAGGGTACTGCCTTTGGGAGAACCCATCAGAATTTCTCCTTGATTTCAACTAAATTTTAGGTTCAGCAAGCAGTAAATACTATCTTAAAGATAATGAAACTTTTTTCGCTGGTCATATTATTATGTTATATTTTCAGTGTACTTTTATTTGTTGATGAAGCAGACGCATTTTTACGCAAGAGAAGCACGGTGAGATAAAAGTAACATGGATATTTCCAGTCAATATTTATTAAAACATACGAAACTTTTCATTTGCGGAAGAAACTTTCACATTTCAGTAAATGGATTCATAAATTATACTCACAAAAAACATGCTGGTATAATCACACCGGACTACCAAGGATGTGTTGATGAAATATTTGATAGAATGTAGATGTAAGTTTATGATGATTTCAGTCAAACTTTGTTTTCCAGGAAATGATTAGTGAAGATATGAGAGCAACATTAAATGCATTTCTCTATAGAACAGGAGAACAATCAAAAAAGTAAGTTTCAAGTATTTAAGGGGGATTGGATTCAAACTTCATAAAAACAGGAATTGTGACAATAATATTTTCTCCAATTGTTTCATAAATCTTTGTAGTTGTTAACATTGTCAACTCAATTTTGGTTCTTCCAGTACTGTTAGTAGAGATCATAGTTCTTTATTTGGTTTATTCTAAAATCTGAGGATTTAGTCTGTCACAGATATTTTCATGTATCTTATAACATGAGCAAGCCAATCTTGTATGGCCTAACATAATTCTTTACTGTTTATCAGTATGTTCTATATATTATGGTTTATTGATTGTATTTGTAGATTTATGTTAGTACTAGCTAGTAATCAACCAGAACAGTTTGATTGGGCTATCAATGATAGATTAGATGAGATGGTAGAGTTTGATGTTCCTAGTTTAGAAGAAAGAGAAAGAATGTGTCGACATTATTTCCATGAATATGTATTAAAACCTGCTTCAGAAAGATCAAGGTTGGTTACTAATGGGAAGGGCTGCCAGATGGCTTTGCTTGTCACCCATGATCTGACTAAATTATTGTGGACAATTTTCTAGGTATTGAATTGAGCTACGACCTAATAGCTTTTATCACTTAAATATTTACCAGCTATAGGGATATGAGGAATTGTTGGATATTCAACCTACCAATATTGGGTACACACTTGAGGCAGAGTTGTCTGGATCATGGATCATGAATGACAAAACAAAAAAACATTTTAATCAGATTGATTCAGTATGAATACTATATAATAAGTTTATAATGTTAAAAATATCTTTTGAATATTTTCCAGATTAAAAGTAGATCAATTTGATTACGGTGTGAAATGTGCAGAAATTGCAAAGAAAACATCAGGGTTGTCTGGTCGGGAAATAGCTAAGTTAGGTGTAGCTTGGCAGGTATGTATTCATGAAAGTTCTCCAGACAGACAATTTAGTATGTAATGTTACAAAGTCCGGATCTGCCCTTGCAATTTGTGAATTAGTTAAAGACAAATTCAAGCCATTATCCTGGTATCTCTAAATAATGAGCTGCTTTGGTTATTTTATTATTCAGTTCCAATAAATTTATCTTTTAGGCTCGAGCTTATGCATCAGAAGATGGGGTTTTGATAGAGAAAATGATTGATTCTGTTGTAGCAGACTCTATCAAACAACATCAAAAGAAAATTTTGTGGCAACAGGAACAAGAAAAATCTCAACCAGAAGCTACTTCGTTTAAATCGGCAAAAAATGCTGCTAGTATTTCCAAATTTGAACCCTCTTCTAATTCTTGAGAGTAATCTAACTCTATTCACATTTTAATCATTAGTGTTATTCATCCAATCAAAAGTGAAAGGCTATACCGTAAGATTGACGGTGAATGTGTCAGATGTGACTAATGAGAAATATTTTATATTATGTTTGTTAATGAATAATGTTGTGTGAAGTAATGGTAGAGTGGTGTTAGCGTGTCATCGCTATCCTAATACTCTGTGCCAAATGAGTTTTTATTAGGAATTTAAATCTGGATTCTTGTATGTGTATGTATTTATCAACTATCAAGGAAGCACTGAATCTTGCATTGTTTCATTTAGCATGTAATAAATTCAAAGATATTAGAAGTAAACCTACCAAGATGTAATGAATTCATAGATTTTAGTAGTACACCTACCAAGATGTATGTAATGAATTCATAGATTTTAGTAGTACACCTACCAAGATGTATGTAATGAATTCATAGATTTTAGTAGCAACTACCAAGATTTAATGAATTCATAGATTTTAGTAGTACCTACCAAGATGTAACGAATTCATAGATTTTAGTAGTACACCTACCAAGATGTAATGAATTCATAGATTTTAGTAGTACACCTAAAAATATGTAATGAAATCATAGATTTTAGTAGTACCTACCAAGATGTATGTAATGAATTCATAGATTTTAGTAGTACCTACCAAGATGTAATGAATTCATAGATTTTAGTAGTACACCTACCAATATGTAATGAAATCATAAATTTTAGTAGTACACCCACCAAGACATATTTAAATCATAGATTTTAGTAGTACACCTACCAAGTTGTAATGAATTCATAGATTTTATTAGTACCTACCACTATGTAATGAATTCATAGATTTTAGTAGTACACCTACCAATGTGTAATGAAATCATAGTTTTTAGTAGTACACCCACCAAGACATATTTAAAGTCATAGATTAAGTACACCTACCAATATGTAATGAAATCATAGATTTTAGTAGTACACCCACCAAGACATATTTAAATCATAGATTAAGTACACCTACCAATATGTAATGAAATCATAGATTTTATTAGTACCTACCAATATGTAATGAAATCATAGATTTTAGTAGTACACCTACCAAGATGTATGTAATGAATTCATAGACTTTAGTAGTACCTACCAAGATGTAATGAATTCATAGATTTTAGCAGATGTTAAGCCTATATTATCAAGATAATTGAATACAGTATATAAATCATTATAATTTTTACTATTCTCTCAGTAAACATAAAATGCACAACTAAATTGCAATATTATTTCTGCACAAATTTAGGACAGGTTGAATGCAGTTTGCAGTAGAAAAGTCACCAACATAACTGGAACCATTCTTGCAGTCCCTAATGCATCATACCACAATGATAGCGATTATCCATACTCGTCACTAAGCTGTCTAATGTCCATCAGGTGTTCAATCAAGAAGCTGGATGGTGATCTCAAGAGGAGTTTAAGGGAATAAGCTCTAATTCAACATGACTGGCGTGTTGGGCTTACAATGAGAAAAAACCCCAAGAATAATGCCATAACTGACACAGCAACAACTCGAGCAAGCTCTAGGAATGGTACGGGTTGGAGAGACACGTCATGACTACATTGCAAGAACTTTCTGTAACAAACTTGATACAAAGTTACAAGCAGACCGGGTAGATACAAGAACGGGCAGAACCAGATGACCTGTATATGTGTACCGGCCCTTGCTTATCTGGAACTCTTTCTGGCGGTTCAGAGCTGATGCTTTAAGACACGGAGCTAATCGACAGATCCCATCCAGGCGGCTCTGAAGTCAAGGAATCAGAGGACATCCATTGACAACTCAACATAATCGTCATCGTCACACCGACTAGACTGCGGAGTGTTTGAAACTCCCATACACCTGAGCCGAACTCTCGACTTCCGACCTAGTAACTAAACTACCATTGGTTTGTTGGTAGATTACCAGTTCACGTTCCCTTCCAGCAAATGCTGATATTGCAAACTAGGTATAGTTGTTGGTAGTCGTAGAGTCAGTAGTTTGATTTGTTTGGATGATTCTGTGCTGTTGGTTTGGTTGTTTATCTGATATGATCGAATGACATGGCAGTGAAACTCGGCCTTGGATGGTGTGGCACGAGTTACTCGATCTTGGTAATTCTTGTTGATTGGTAGTGGTTGGAGGGAATAGAATAGCTTTCAACAAAAGGGGAAAAATGCTCTCTTGTGTTTCTGTGATAAAACTTGTTACATAGCGTGAATATAATTAAAATTAGAATTATGATTAGAAACTTTTGAAGTTAAAAACTCAACCAATCTGTTCAAGACAGATTCTGTTATTAATTGGTTGACGAGTTCATTTATTGTATACCAGTGGGCCGTGGGTGTATCCAAAACTTCGTTGGTTTTCAGGTTGGCTCATTAGTGGATTTCAGTTCGGTGCATTGAATGATGAGATGTGACCTAGTGGCTACGTGGTCGCATCGACATTTAATGGCATTGAAATGATGGCCTCTTAGTACATGTAAGTTGCTGGCACAGCGGTCTGCTTGATCATTTCTAGGGATAGAGACATGCCATGGTACCCATACTAGTTCGATCTGGTGATTGTTGTTGGTTTGGTAGTTTTCGTATTTCAGTGATAACTGCTGACCTGCAATTAGAAGAGGTGAGAGAGATAGTTGGAGGCTGCTTAGTGGATCGGAAAAGATTGTGTCATGCTCCGTGTGATTGACGGATAGTCATGATACCGCGTCCCTAGTGGTAATGTTCTGATATGAACACTGAACAGCGAAGGGGGGTCCTTTTACCAATGCGGGTGCCTTGGGCTATGCTGGGATATACAAAACGTAGCCTGTTGCTGTACTACTTTCGGAAACATCGATGTAGATCTTCAAATTATCGGCGTACACGAAATCAATAAGATCAAGAGTGCGTGCTGGCCTGATGGCATAGCTTTCATCGTAGAACGTCGAGTTTCTTCAGTTGAGTGTTACTAGGCAATACAACCATAATCAATAACTGAATGAACCAATGACCTGTACATCAGCATTGGAGTTTCTACGTCTGCTTCCCATGTGGTACATAAAACCTGGCGTATAACATTTAAGATAGCTGAAGAAAGGTTAAAGATATAGTCGATATGCTTTCTCAAAATAAGACAATTCTTGTCAAGGCCTGTCTACACGATCATAAATTTGAAGGGTAAATATTATTTTTGGTGGGAAAATAATTCAACACGGATGCTCAAAGCAGTCTGTTGAGTGGTGTTGCTGCATCAGTTATCATTTTAACAATTCTTCGTCGCGAAAAAGAGAAAGAGGAGAGCGCGAAAGGTTCGCCAATGGGTCAGGGACTGGATCCAAAGAAGAGGTCAACATGGGACTTGTCAGGCCTTATTGAGTGAGTTACAGCTAACAGACCAGGCCAGTTGTTTGTAATTCCTCTGCAGTTCGGTGCATTACTAATTTTCGTAATGCCTTATCCTTATAGTCTTTAATTAAAGTGTTATAAAGACACGGGTTGTCTTCATACATGCTTATTAATTTAGTAACATTCTGTACGGTCCAAACTTTTTCTGCGTTTGTCGCCATTTTGAAAGATGGGAAGGCAGTCACATGACGTTTATACGGCAGCTGATTTGTTAAAGATTGATAACTAATTTAAATATTGCCAACATTTGTTGGAAAGATGAAACATGCAGCTAAATATTTGAACAACGTCATACATGTTTGACCATGTTCAACCTTGTTGGAAAAGCCGTCTACACGATCAAACATTTGTCCACGAACACCGACGACGGTGTTTTGGACAAATGTATGATCGTGTAGACGGGCCTTCAAAGTCGAACTAAACTGCGCTGACGTCATTAAACCTAATGATGACGCCCACTACACCTGCAAAGCCAGATACTGGTTCTTATTGGACAACATTTCATTACAAAAGTTAGATTTCAACGATTTCCATGTCTGTCGAACCGATCCAATTGGCAATTGAATGCTGGCGTATTACCGCGCTAGAAGTATAAATCCACCTTCCACCAAGGTTTCTAGCAGCCTAATGCTGTACAGACTTTTGCAATTTATTATAGTGTATGAAACTCCTGTTGGGTGTCATACGCATCTGTTCTAAATTGTATACCACCTGATGTTACTCAATAATCAATATCTTAGTAATTTATTTTTATAAAAATAATATAGCCAAAACATGTTTGCCTTCCTAATCTAACCGACATGGTGATTCACACGTCAAGCTTGTAAACTGTATATATATGGTTTCTAGGTGTTATTTTATACTTGAATATAAACTAAACTGTATACAATAAAAAAAAAGAACAATATCGATAATTCTGAGAAAACTAGGTCTATACATTATAGCCTACTTTCATTTTAAGCATGTTTATAAGAGTAATGCGCAAACTGCAATTAGATCATTATTGTTGATTGGCTTTATATAGTAGAGGAACAATTTCCTAAACACAATGAATTATAAAATTATTGATAAGGTTGAAGAGTGCAGAGAGGTGGTAGAAAATTTGTTTAAGAATGAAGCAATTTATGTTGATTCTGAAGGTGTGAATTTGGGAAAACATGGAAATCTCACCCTCTTACAAGTTGGTACATGGAATGGTTTTGTTTATTTGTTTGATATTCAGGCGGAAACGAAGATGTTCCAGGAAGGAGGATTAAAGCGTTTACTAGAAAGTGACAATGTTCAGAAGGTATTTGATTTGGTTTTAGACCAATTTTGTCTGTATTTGATTCATCAACAACATACAAATTGCCTTACATTCCATGAACAACATGAAACAATAATCAATAAAAATTGTTTGCCAAAAGCTTAAAATTCAAGAGATTTCAGTTTTTTAAAGATCAAGTTTCAAACCTTGATACTCTTATATTATGCTAAATGTGGCTTGTGAACGCGATAGTGTGTTGGTTTAAATCAACATATTTGACAAGTTATTATATATAATATTAATAGGATTTGACACAGATTCACTATCATCCTTGATAATATACTGAAAAATGATCAGGGAAGTTGGCATATTTCTTGCTAGGAGACGCCTTGTTACTAGTAGGCTATCATGACATTAATACCTTGAAAGTCGTAATAAGAGACGTGTAATCTTTAACAAGAAGTGAATACTTTCCAAGAACTGGTTATATCGTTCACGGCCTAAATACAGCCCCATATTTCCGATTTTCTTCACCGGTATCCATCGTAATTCATACCATGTAGTTATTAATTATTATTTCATAAATAGGAGGTATTTACCACAACACCCACGTACAAATATATAAATCGAACTTTTCGTAACCATTTCTACCAACGCACCTTTTTAACTTCTACTTTCCATTTTCATTCATTACATTTCTTTTAAAATTTGTATACCTTTTCCACTTTTACTTTCCATTTCCAGCCATTAAACTTGTATACGTTTCTACATTCCATTTCTATTTTAGTGTTTTATCTAGTTTCACATGACGTTTTGGCACGGTTCTCGCGACAAGCTAGGGTGGACAAAAGCCGTTTCGTGACGTTTCAATAATGTCATTAATGGTGCGTCCCGATGTGTGAAGCTTTGAAGGCCGGTACGGTTACGGTAGGCTACTTTGAGTTCTGTCTTGGGAACATCCTCCGGCGTTGTCTCACGTTCATTCCGTTTTCCTCACGATGGCTTGAACCGTGATTACCGTTAACCTAGCATTACAGGCTCGAAATTGACACCAGTTTTAATTAAAAATGTCCAGCACTGATCCAAAGATTCTACACCCCTATTTCACCAACCTAGCCATTTGATGCTGAAAAATATGTTATCTTCATTTCTTTAGCAACTTGGGAAGTCTTGACCAGAAGGGAATAATTCTCTGTGCAAGAACCTTTGTAAACCATTCAGATAGCTTGCCAGGCAAAGTAACATACACCCGCTACAAGCTGTCAGAAATGAATATTTAGCGACTTTAATGTGAATTTTATTATAATATATATTTATAATATTTATTCCATTTTTTTTTTTAATCAATACCAATAACCCAAAAGCTCTTGTAAAATCATTGCATTAGAACTTCACTACATTCTCCTCGATTTAAATGATCACACAAAATTTCGTAATAATCGGATGAAGACAATAGGGCAATGACTCAAAAGATGTTCATCGAATAATCGCCAAATTTGAATCAGTTCAAGATCGTATCAACATGATTCCACCAAGATTCATTAAAATCAATTGAAAACTGTAGTCTCTATAGTGTTCACAACCAAATTTTGACATGTTTTCAAGGGCAAGGGAAATAACTAAAAAATTGTTCATCAAAAAAGCATCTTATTCGAATAAATAGATCATCACACCAAATTTCATTCAAATCGAATGAAAACTGTAGTCTCTATTGCGCTCACGAACAAATTTTTTAAGCATTTTTAATAAGTCATGGGCAATAGTTCGAAAAGCTTTCATCGAAAAATCATCAAATTCCAACTTAACCAAGATCTCATGAGTCATCAAACCAAATTTCATTCAAATCGAATAAAAACTGTAGTCTCTATTGCGCTAACGAATAAATTTGCACGCGGTTTTACTAAGTCAAGGGCAATAATTCAAAAACCGTTCATCAAAAAAATTGTCAAATTCGAACTTGACCAAGATCTCATGAATATAAATCTTCACAGCAAATTTCAGTAAAATCAAATAGAAACTGTATTCTGTATAGTGCTAACAAGAACAGGGGCAGCAGCAATACATCCACATTTCCACGTCGGCGTAAACAAATTTTGCTGATGTTTTCATATCACACGATACACTTTCCTTAGATAACAATGAATTTTCCTTATATCACATTACAATATTAATTTCCTCACACTACATCACCTGATACACTTAACTTTGAATTTGTCACACAACACACTTTCCTTAGAATAAATCTCATGATACACTTTCCTTAAATTATATCTCACTTTCCTTAAATAATATCACACGACACACTTTCTTTAGATTACATCACCCGATAAACTTTCCTTGGAATATATAATACGATACACTTTCCTTAAATTATATCTCAATTTCCTTATATAATATCACACGACACACTTTCCTTAGATTACATCACCCGATACACTTTCCTTGGAATATTTAATACGATACACTTTCCTTAAATTATATCTCACTTTCCTTAAATAATATCACACGACACACTTTCCTTAGATTACATCACCCGATACACTTTCCTTGGAATATATAATACGATACACTTTCCTTAAATTATATCACACTTTTCTTATATAATATCACACGACACACTTTCCTTAGATTACATCATCAGATACACTTTCCTTGGAATATATAATACGATACACTTTCCTTAAATTATATCTCACTTTCCTTATATAATATCACACGACACACTTTCCTTAGATTACATCACCCGATACACTTTCCTTGGAATATATAATACGATACACTTTCCTTAAATTATATCACGCTTTTCTTATATAATATCACACGACACACTTTCCTTAGATTACATCATCAGATACACTTTCCTTGGAATATATAATACGATACACTTTCCTTAAATTATATCACACTTTTCTTATATAATATCAAACGATACACTTTCTTTATATTGCACAACTTAGAATAAATCACACGATAAACGATAACAAATTATCAAACGAAGCCCTTTCCTTAGATTATATCACAAAATAAACTTTCCTCAGATTATCAAACAAAATACACTTTTCTCGGATCATCAAACCAAATACACTTTTTTTTTATATCATCACACGATTCCTTTTCCTTAGATTATATCACACGATACATTTTCCTGATGTCACATTACAAGATTCGTTTTCCTCACATTATATCACACGATGCACTTTTCTTAGATTATATCACAAGATATATTTTCATTTAATTATATTGCACGATATTATTTTCTTTTATTAGTTATATCACACAATTCATATTCTTTTCATTATATCACAAAATACATTTTCATTATATCACAAAATACATTTTCATTATATCACATAACAAGATTCATTTTCCTCACATTACAACACATGATACACTTTCCTGGGATTATATCACACGAAACATTTCCTAAGATCATACCACACAAAGCATTTTTATTATGCGTATCTATTATAAGATACACTTTCCTCAAACTATACCACACGATACACTTTCATTAGATTATAGCATACGTTACACTTTCCTCAGATAACATCACACGATGGATTATTTCTCACGTTTTCTCACATTTTCATGAGATAATCTATGATTCGTGTGACATAATCTAAGGAAAATGTATCGTGTGATAAAATCTATGGAGAGTATTGTGATATACATGTAATCTCAGGAAAATGAATCCTGTGATATATAATTAAGCGAAAGTGTTTCGTGTAATATAATCTAAGGAAATGAAATGAATGGAGTTTTACGTCCTACTTTTCTGATATAATCTAAGGAAAGGGATACACTTTCATTAGATAACATCACACGATACACTTTTCTCATGTTATAAAAAGAGTCCTTTTCCTCACATTATATCACACGATACACTTTCCTTAGATTATATCACACGATACATTTTTCTTATTTCGCATTACAAGATACATGTTCCTCATATCATAACGCACGATACACTTTCCTTATATTATAACTTCCCTCTGATATACTTTACTCACAATTTGACACACAAAACATTTTCCTTCAATTATGATACGATACACTTTCCTCAGTCTATATCACACGATACATTCTCGTTGGACTCGTTGGATATCAAACGATAGACTTACTTTGGATTTTATCAAACGATACACTTTCCTCAGATTATTTCACACAATACATTGTCCTTAGACTTTGTCACACGATTCACTTACCTAAGATTAAATCACTCGATACACTTTCCTTGGATCATATCACATAAAACACTTTTGCTTATATCACATTACATGATTCATTTTCCTCACATTAAAACACATGATATACTTTCATTTAAAGATGTGTTTCCTTATTTTTTAGTGTTAAGAGTGGAGAAGTTCCTAAAAACTTCTATGTAAAGCACTCGCCAAGGTCACAAATAAAGAGATAAATGTTCAATACAAGATAAGGTGAAGTTAGCATAGTTAGTATTAAGTTAAACAAACAACCACGAGCAATGTACAGTCTTGATAAACAAAAAAAAAAAAAGAAGAAGACTTTTTGACTTTTCTTGATCAGCCACTCATTGGAATTCTGCTGGTAATTCTCTTCTAATTTAGCTAATTATGAATAAATTATTGACATGTGAGACAAACTGGTATTTTTCCAAGTCATAAGAACACACCTACTTTCTATTCGTATAAGTATTAGCATTATCATTTTCATCAATGAAAATAAGGGAACCCATCTTTAATAATATCACGCGATACACTTTCCTTTAATGACATCACGCGACCCACTTTCCTCAGATTATATCACACATTACACTTTCCTTTAATTATATCACACGATACATTATTCTTATATCACATTACAGGATATTATACAATCATATCATAACGCACGCTACACATTCCTTACATTATAACAGACGAATTTCCTATATCACACGATACACTTTCCTTGGATAATATCACAAGATCCACTTTCCTAAGATTATACCACACAAAACATTTTCCTTTAATTATGATACGATACACTTTCCTCAGAATATATCACACGATACACTTTCCTCAGACATTATCACACGATACACTTTCATTAGATTGTATCACACGATAAACTTTCTTATTTTATATTACACTACAGACTTTCTACACCATTTCCTTATTCACTTTCCTTACATTATATTTCAAGATTCACTTTCCTCACATTATAAAGCAAGATACACTTTCCTCATATTATATCACATGATTCACTTTCCTCACATTATATCACACGATTCACTTTCCTCACATTATATCACACGATGCACTTTCCTTACATTACATTTCAAGATTCACTTTCCTCACATTACAACGCACGATACACTTTCCTCATATTATATCATACGATTCACTTTCCTTACATTACATTTCAAGATTCACTTTCCTCACATTACAACGCACGATACACTTTCCTCATATTATATTACACGATGCACTTTCCTTAGATTACATTTCAAGATTTACTTTCCTCACATTATAACGCACGATACACTTCCCTTCGATTATATCACATGATTCACTTTCCTCACATTATATCACACGATGCACTTTCCTTACATTACATTTCAAGATTCACTTTCCTCACATTACAACGCACGATACACTTTCCTCATATTATATCATACGATTCACTTTCCTTACATTACATTTCAAGATTCACTTTCCTCACATTACAACGCACGATACACTTTCCTCATATTATATTACACGATGCACTTTCCTTAGATTACATTTCAAGATTTACTTTCCTCACATTATAACGCACGATACACTTCCCTTCGATTATATCACACGATTCACTTTCCTTAGATTACATTTCAAGATTCACTTCAATCACAATATAACGCACGATGCACTTTCCTCATATCATATCACACGATTCACTTTCCTCACATTATAACACACGATGCACTTTCCTCATATTATATCACACGATTCACTTTCCTTTTATTACATTTCAAGATTCTCTTTCCTCACAATATAACGCACGATGCACTTTCCTTCGATTATATCACACGATGCACTTTCCTTCGATTATATCACACGATTCACTTTCCTTTGATTACATTTCAAGATTTACTTTCCTCACAATATAACGCACGATACACTTTCCTCATATTATATCACACGATGCATTGTCCTTAGATTGTATTACACTTTAAATTATATCACACGATACATTTTCCTTAGATTATATAACACGATACACCTTCCTTAGAATAATTCTCACTTTACACTTTCCTTGAATTATATCACACGATACACTTTCTTTATAATATACCACACAATACTTAGATACTATCAAGACGATACACTTTCCCCGGATTATATCATACGATACGCTTTCCTTGGATTAGATCAAACGATACATTTTTCTTATATCAGATTACAAAATTCGCTTTACTCGCATTATATCACACGATACACTTCTCTTAGAGTATACCATAAGATACACTTTTCTTTAATTATATCACTTGATTCACTTTCTATGAATTTTATTACACGATACGCTTTCCCTACATCACATTACAAGATACAACATCCTCACACTATAATGCATGTACACTTTTCTCACACTATAACATACGACTTTCCTCAGATTATACCGTACGATACACTTTCCTCAGATTATACCGTACGATACACTTTCCTCAGATTAAATCACACGTTACATTTTCCTTTAATTATATCACACGAAACACTTTCTTTGTGTTATATCACACGTTAAACTTAATGTCGCGAAAGACTTTCTTGAATTGTATCTCACGATGCACTTTCTTTAAATTGCACCACGCGATACATTTTTTTTCTCAGATTATATTACACGATACACTTTCTTAAATTATTATCTTAAATTGAAATTTCACCAAAATAAATCGTATTATTTTCATCTTGATGCAATAAATATAGTTGACCGATTTTTTTTTCTCATTGAATTCTGAGCTGATTTTTCATTATTTAGACAATTTTCTTCCACTTGAATCGTTTGCTTAATTGTTCTAATTATATATCTTTATATTCCAGGTGATCCACGCATGTAGTCGTGATAGTGACGCACTGTATCATCACTTTGGTGTTACATTAAATAATGTATTTGATACACAAGTGAGTTTTCACTTTTTCGTTTGAATACAATTACGCAATATGTGTAATTTTCAAAGGACTCTCAGATATAGTGCATAAAACATCGATAAGTTGTAGAGAAAATTTCTTTATTCTTTGTATTTGTTGATGCTTCCTGAAAAATATGAGGTATATACCATTATTTTTACGTTTGTTTTCAAGTGCGCTGATTTGATTCTACAAGAAAATGAGGGAAGATTAATGGCAACAGTCAGAAAATTGTCAGACGTTTGTGAAATTTATGGCGGTAAAAAATTAGACAACAAAGAAGAAATCCAGGTAATTGATAGGATTTTAGCAGTACATTTAAAATTAAACATTTTACTTACTTACCAAAAATCCAACTTGAAAACCATTTCCCGTCACAACAGTTGATCAATTTTAAACCTGGAAGTCAGATAAAAGATAATATTGCCCGAATTATAGTAGTTTACTTTGAAGGGGAATTATTATCTTCGTTAAATAAATTATTATTCCTTTGAAAACTAAAACTAAATGGTAATTATTAATTTCAGAAAACATGGAATAAAACTATTGCAAACTATTGGGAACTTCGTCCAATGTCCTCAGAAATGATTGAATATGCATGCAACGACGTTGTCGTATTGCCGGAAATCTATAAAAATCAAAAAAGGTAATGTATACCATATTTTGTGTATGACCTTGTAAGGCCTTGTTAGTTCTTTAATGACCCTCACATCCTGAGCTTCCTAAACTGAAACATATTTTTCAAGTAGCTTAATAATATGCCTGTTTGCATAACGTAAAGCCGTTTTCTTTTCTATGAAATTTCAAGCTCTTATAAAGACATTGTTTTTGCAGATTGTTGGAAGAAAAGAATTTAATCGAAAAATTTAAAGAAAGAGTCCATGAAACTGTTCACTACTTGTTGAATAACAGTCTCAAAGATCGCCGAAATGACCGCATTTCCGAGAATGCAAAGTTGGTTTTAAAAAAGATAGACAGAGCTTACCCAACTGTAGTAGATCACGAATCTATTGAAGATGAAGACATTTTAGCTGCTTTAAATCGTCACTGGACAGAAGAAGACGTTAATACTTTAATGACACCTAAAGTTGCAAAAATCTTTTCCAACTTTGTATTGCATGAACTGAGAGGGATAGAAAGGGAAATGGACAAAGAAGGTGATGATTTCAATCCTGATAGACCACCCTACTATTTCTTATTTCGATCAATGAACTACTCAAATGTAACCATAAAAAATCTGGCTACTCTTTTGTATAAACGTTATCAGATCATCGTATTTAAAGACATTTGTCGGAAATACACAATATCCAGTCCTTTATACTTTTTGAGAGAGTGTGAAGTTTTATTCCTAAAGAGTATCAGAATAAAGAACCATCGTGATACATTGCAATACAAACCGGTTATCTTAAATTTCTATTTTAGAATGAACGAACGAGACCTGAAAGATTTTCGCCAAAACATAATAAAAAATCCACACAATGTATCAGTGACTAAAGGGTTTTACACATTTATAGGTTATCAAGCTAAAGGGGATCATATACCTTCATATGTTAGGGCAGCAGCCACGGATTTGAAACAAGCGATAGATAATGCTGGTAAAAACCCTTTCCCTACACCTAAACCCACACGTCCTCGTCGTCGTAATTACTATGATGATGAATACTATGATGATGAATACTATGATGATGAATACTATGATGATGACTACTAAGTATGCTGATTAAGTATTAAGTAACCGATGAAGTTTATTTAGGTTGAAACATTTTGAATTTTGATTAAGACATGATTTTTATCGGGAAAACTATACTTTAATACATTTTAAAAGACAATTTGATAGGTCTAGAAGTAATTTAACTATTTGTTGTTTATTTATCTCTATTATTTTTCCTTTTTATTGATGTATTTGGTAGCTTGTTCAAAAATCCATAACTTGCACCATAACTTGTTTACAAATGTTTAACTTCCCAAATTCACGTGCAAATATGCGCATAGCATACATTGTAGAGCTTAGTGAAACTTTCACAATGGGCTGTTTGATTTACAAAGATATTTTACCGTGATGAAATCGAGGAAGCCATTCAAGATCGATCTGATGTGACCAATATTTTAGGACATTTGCGTATCAAGAACACAAGTCTAATGTCAACAATTTCCGTTATATTTTCAAATATTTCTATGGCACAAGATACACAAGGGACAAGTTCGCCATTTTTTGAGCAATTGTACCTTATAAGTGGCGTTTCTAAGAAATATTAGGTGACGTGGCCGAGCAGCGGCCACAAAATTTTCAACGCATATTGAAGGTTATGTATGTGATTTTTGTACATTTCTGAAGGCTATTTACACATTTCAAGACACAAATCAATCCCTCAAAATGGCGAATCTGTCCCTTTAATCAAATGATTATTCAATATAGATCGAATTCTGTAAGTTAAAATCGATTCGGTTTGGGAGGACAACTTTAACCCTTCCTTTTATATTTATTATATTCTTATCCTGTATATTCTATATATTCATTCAAGTATATAATGTCATTATTTTCTGTAATCAATTAGATTTAACTACGTTGAATTTTAATAAACGAATTTGAAATATTAAAATATCCGAACTATTTAGTTATTACCCAAAAATATTGAAAGCTTCGTAGGCCAGAGGGAGCCGCGGTGGCTCATTGAGTTAGACGCTTGCTCGCTAACCTGAAGGGCCAGGGTTCAATGCCTGCATAGGTCGAGATAATACCTTCGGATTTTTCAACCCGGTTTCCCCCTGTCAGTGATGCAGGTAAGAGGGGCTGACATGGAAAAAGCTTCTAGTCGTTCGGATGGGACAATAAACTGAGGCCCCGTGTGCAACAGGCTGTGCATGTTAAAGATCCCTCGACAGTTAGAAATCGAAAAAGAGCAGGCTAATGCCACTGTCCTGGCAAAATTTCCCTCTTGGCACCCTGCATGGCGTTGCCCGTCTTCATGAGCCCACTCCATTCATTTCCAGTGATGAAAGATTAATAGCAATGAAATCAACTTGCCAGAAATCCCCCCATTTTATAGTTGGTTAGTATCTCGTAGTGTTAACACGTTAATTAGTGTGCTCCGAGAATTACCCAAGCGTATTGAACCTTGTTCACTGTACTATTGGATTTTACTTGTGTTTGTAAATATTGACTTTGTTATTGTCATTTGTTGACTGTATATATCGTGTATTTAGGGGCTTTTGCCCCTATTTTGTGCAATATTCGCCACCCCGCATAGGATTAGCGGAGGTGTTATTTTTGGATACGATGGAGAACAGATGATATAAGAAAGAGAGTACGGTGAGAGTAAAGGTAACTGATTTGAAACTTATTAGGTTGGATGAATTTATTGAAGCAGTAGAAGGGAAACTCGGGGAGGGGTCATGCTTTGCGTGTATACCCAGGTACCCCTCGACTATAGAAATAACGGTCGATAGTGTGGAAAATGCAAATCTGTTGTGCGAAGGACTCACTGTGAACGATTTAGGATATGAACCCGAACTTTGTTTTTACCGCCCTACCTTGAAGATGATATTATTGTAAGGAAATTGGAAAGATTTGGAGTGGAAATTGTAGGCCCAGTAGTAAGACACTTTCATAAGAAGTTTCCCAATGTAGCTGACGGCACTCGGCACGTGAAATGTAAATTTCCACCCACATTGAGATTCCTTCCGTGGGCAATGAACTTTGAGACTCTAGAGGGGCCACAATCCTTTAAAATCCTACATAACAACCAGACTAAAGTTTGTTATAAATGTTTAAGCCCGGACCACGAGAAGAAGGTATGCCCCCAGATCAAATGTGCAAAGTGCAGACTTTTCGGACATATGGCCTTCAAATGCCCCACCCCTACTTGTGAAAAATGTGAAAAGGCAGAAAATTTGTGTAAATGTGAACAGTTTTTTGACACTAACGAAGGGGAACATGACGAAGAAATAGTGAATAATAATAAACGAGACCTAAGTACTGATAAGAGTGAGAACAATCAAGAGGGGAAAAAACAAAAGAAGGACAATGACGACGAAGTGAACATTAATCTAGAACAACCGAGCCATAACGAAGTTTTGCCATCCGCAGAGTCTACACGCCATGATGCCCCCGATACTAATCCCCCCGAAATTAACCCCCCATCATTTAACATTAATAAAGACGAAAACTCTATCATAGATGACTTTTTAGAAGAAACGAATAGCGGCATGGAATTTATAGCCGTGAAAGATAAGAACGGTCGCTACAGACGAGTCCCAGTTTCTCGACAATCCCCCACCCCCTCCAAACTTAAACCACTTAATAGTAGGGAAAATAGCCCCAGTAAAGAGATGCCACTCCCCCAGATTAAGAGACAGTAAAATGTGCAATAAACAGCTTTATTATTCAAACTCTTTTAAAGTGACTTCTATTCTTACTTATATTTTATCCCTCTATATTTTAATCATTTTAACTATGCCTAAAATAACTACTTGGAATGTGAATGGACTTCGGGAATGGAATAAAATTCAAAAGGTGATTGTATATATAAAGAATAGTGGAAATGACATTGTGTGTTTACAAGAAACTTTCTGGGATGACAATATTATTCTAAAAGTGAAACTTTTATGGGATGGACCTGTGTTTTTTAGTAACTTTGATAATAATCGCAGAGGTGTTGCAATTTTAGTACAGAATAATCTCAAAAGTTTTATTGTAAATAGTGAAAATGATTCGGAGGGTAGGATTGTGAAAGTTAATTTTAATTTTGATGATTGTTATTTTAATGTTTTATCTATATATGCTCCTAATGACCCTAACGAAAGAACGGAATTTTATACATGTATTTCATCCTTTTTAAGTCCCTATTCAATTTTAACTGGTGATTTTAACGAAATTTTAAACCCTTCACTTGACAGGGCTGAATATATGCATAGCAGTAAAAGAGGGAGCGCAATTTTTAATACCTTCTTAAACGAGCACAGCCTTAGTGATATTTTTAGACGCCGACACCCCGATAAAAGACAGTTTACTCGTAAGATTATCGTTAATAATGTTCTTAAGACCAGCCGAATTGATTTTATTTTTATACCTCAGAGCTTTATTCACCACGTTTTTAACTGTTTTATCACATATTCTTCCTTATCGGACCATAGCCCAGTTAGTATTTTAATCGATTTTAATAAATGTAAAAAAGGCCCCGGTCTATATATATTCAATAATACACTTTTAAAGGATAATAATTTTACTACTCTTATTACTGATTTAATTAAGAAGGAAATAGATAGCCCCCTATATTCCACGGAGATTTTAGTCTGGTGGGACAATCTAAAATACAAAATTCAAAATTTGGCTCAGACATACTCGAAGAGTAAGAAAAAGCAAGAAAAAAGAAAATTTTGGTCCCTCCAGACTGATCTCGCCAAAGAATATAGGAGACTATCTCTGGGCACCACGCATGATTTAACCTTAATAAAAACCTTAGAGCTACAACTTTCTGCAATGGACGAGGAAACATGTCGTGGTGCCATATTACGTAGCAAATCCTTAGACGCTACGGAGGGTGACAGGTGTACCTCATATTTTTTGAATTTAGAGAAACAACGACAAAATTCTAATTGTATAAAGCAGCTTACAGACAGTTCGGGCAATGTAATTAACCATACACAAGATATAGTATATGAGTGCGGTGAGTTTTACTCTAAACTATATACACGAGAAAAAGCAGACGATTTTGTTGCTATTAATAACGTCTGCAGTACTCTCACTAACACCATAACTACAACCGAGCGAGAGTACTGTGACACACAAATTACATTGTCCGAATTGTCTGTCGCTATAAGGACTATGTCAAAGAATAAGAGCCAGGCTTAGACGGACTCACCGCTGAATTTTATTTATATTTTTGGGATCTTTTATCACCTATATTTTTAAATGTTTTAAATCATATTTTCAATTCTTATACTTTATTACGTTCTATGCGGAGAGGCGTAATTGTTTTAATCTATAAAGATAAAGGTGATAAAACCCTTTTAAAGAATTTTAGACCTATATCCCTTTTAAACGCAGATTTAAAGATTTTATGTAGAGTTTTAGCCGCCAGATTAAAAAGTGTTTTACCTTCCATAATTTCTAAGGAACAAAGTTGCATGCCAGGACGAAGTATTTTAGAGAACGTCATGGGTATCCGAGACTTAATCGATTATTTTAATAAAGAAGATATCGAAGCATGGATATGCCAAATCGATGCCGAAAAAGCTTTCGACCGATTGAGTTTCGGATACCTAAAATCCATCCTAAAATACTTCGGATTCGGTCCTATCTATAGACAATGGATTAAGATCTTATATACCAATATAGTTAGTACAGTTAAGGTTAACGGTCACCTGTCGCCCTATTTTACTATTAGTCGGTCAGTTCGCCAGGGTTGTCCGTTGTCTTCTATGTTGTATATCATGTGCGCTGAACCATTAAATCTTTTAATTAAACAATCACCAGCTAAAGGTATACCTATAAAGCACACCGATATGACGTCACTGATATACCAACATGCAGACGACACAACCTTGACTCTGGCCGACGAAAATTCTATAGAGCTAGCATTTAAAGCCATGGAGCCCTACTGTATTGCATCAGGGGCGAAAATAAATATAAATAAATCTAAGATAATGCCTATAGGTTCTGTTAGAAACAAAATTATTAATTTTAACTTACCTTTAACCCTTGTTTATGAT